TGACTGCATAGTGATTGGTAATGACTGCATGATGATTGGTAATGACTACATGATGATTGTGAACTGAAGGCAGAGGAGGCGTTCCATAGGTGTCTGCCGTTACGTCTAAAAACGGATACTTCTGAAAAATTGTCTTAACACTATAAGATAATCCTGTCTCTTATACACATCTAGATGTGTATAAGAGACAGGGGATGAGATGCGGCCGTGAAAGATGAAACTTCAGATTTGATAGAGATACTCTGACGCAGACGTTTGATTTTATCAACAAAAAATGTGTTAAAGTCAGTAGCCAACTGAAGCTTACTGGATGATGGTGGTAAATTTGCCACGGTTGTCCTACCAAGTAGCTTATTGGCAAGTTTGAACAGAGCTCTCTGATCATGTCCACATCCGTCGATCTTAGACTGGAGGTAAGAAACCCGAGAATCTTCAAGCGTACGGTGGTAAATAATGCATTGAATCTTATACTCGGATATAGATCATAAAAAGTAATGAGAGTCCATATTGTACAAGGGATCCATATTTTATACTAAAAATGGAACAGAGTTTTAGTGAAAGATGAAATTTAAAGTGTACCTTTCCCTTACAACAATTGGACATGAGTAAAGATAACTACACATCTCTACAGCTAGGTGCCCAGAGACTAAAATGCACAAAGATAACTTAATGACTATTAAAAAACTATTTTGAACAATGTAACATTTATTAAGGTGTTGTTTAAAAACCTTAAAATTTGCTCTTTTTTAAGTTTACATTGATTGCACTGCATGTTGTACCGAAGACCATTCACATTAAAACATAGTCGCCATTGCGTTTCTAGCAAATTGAAGTCAGACTTTTGCAGATTTCATTTTCTTATTATTGATAAATGGATGCCATTTTTTACGCTCTTTACAAGTACCTTTCCACCATTCTTCATGGATATTATGTGGACGCTTTGGCGGCTGGACGTTGAATATAGAACATATACGCGACGGTGAGAAATAATCAAAATTCTTAACAACGTGCCCCATCTTTTTCCATTCAAAAAATGCATTATAAAGGTGTTTGTTATTATCCAGAAGATTAATGTATGCTACAAACTGGTCCAGGGTATCAAAATCTGATATATGAATAAAAGAGTTTGGGGGTGCTACTTTTTGATAGTCTTTTTTTGATGGTCCAAAAACGATCGGAACAATGTTTAGATTTGAAAATGGCCACCACCAAAACTTTTCTGTAATGTAATCACGACACTCGCTATTCTCCAAAGCAAGAATGAATTTATAATTTTTCGTAGCTTCACATGGTACTTTCCAACCAGGACAAGATAAATTGCCACACCGCCCGTATATATCAATAGGTAGACGAGTTTGTAGAAGTTTGACAAACTTAAATCTGGCCCACGTTGTGCTCTGACAGTTTTTTGCAACCCAGGCGATTAATCTTGTTTTTCCCTGTGACCAGTCGATCTGTGGCACATTACTGGGTAGTTGTTTAGGCCGTTCAAAAGGTACATACGAGCCATACGGTACACGGATATCAGTATCCGAGCTAAATGACATCGTCATATTAAAATGAAACCAAACTGGCGGTTTTTTCATAAAATGCAAAACTCGAATTTGACTTTCCCATGCCTGCCATATCCAAATTTGGGCGGGAAATCGTTTGGACTGGAACAAACCATAGTTTGCGGGATCGGTATAATAACCAGTGTGGAATATTACAACATCTGAGTCAACCAGCATTGAATAATTTTCTGCATACGTTGTATGGACAGAACAATCCAAATTAGGACAAGTTATCAATCCTTCTGTACCTCCGTATCCATAATTTTTACGAGCAAGTTCAGTCTTCCACCATATTAAAACCTTCTTAACGCAACTGGTTTTCTTCTGGTTTCGAATTTTTACATTGGTATCGCCAACACTGTTGCCACAATTTGTTTGGCACAATTTATCTAAACTTTGATCTTTCATTGAGCTTGAGGTAACCGTCTTAACGAGGATAATATACAATGATACTACGAACATCAATATCCAAAGAAGACCAACGTACTTCCTGACCAATAACCATCGAGGCACCATGATAATCTGGAAAGGATAATATAATAAGATTTCTGTAGTTTGAGTACCTGTCTCTTATACACATCTAGATGTGTATAAGAGACAGCTCTTCACCTCATAGGTCAAAGATTCAAAACGTTACTAATGGCAAACGATTGAACCGAATTCAATCAAATTTGATCATTAAGAACCAGTGACACCTCCTACACCCCAGTCTGGGATCAGGGGTTACATAGGGGTCAAATTTTCAAAATAGCCCAATTGAGCTCGAATTTACCAGGAATGATCCTTAGGACCTTCTAAACATGAAAAAAAAAATCGCCGTGGCTAGATATACGGTACCGTATTTCTACTTCGTTTTGCTAAAGGTACGGTAAATGGCATTACGTCACCATCACCCAATGAAATGCCAGAATGTGCGTGACGTCATTTTTTGAAGACGGCATTGCATATCACCCACAATGAGCAGTGGAAGGAGAACGATCATGTACAGTACTGGGAAATTAAATAGATCGTTAAATAGGTGTATGGTTCCACTTTATAGTAAAAGTAGGCCTGTATGAATTCTCTTGTTTACAGTATATTCATTTTTTTATTGCAAGTGTATATAACTAGATTACCAAAGACTAGCAGTAGTGTGTGTATACGTGCCTTGGCCCAAGTCCTGAGGATGATGCCTTGCTTGAT